CAGGGGCGGAGGGCGCCGGGCCCGGGGGGCAGGGGCAGGGGCGGAGGGCGCCGGGCCCGGGGGGCAGGGGCAGGGGCGGAGGGCGCCGGGCCCGGGGGGCAGGGGCGGAGGGCGCCGGGCCCGGGGGGCAGGGGCAGGGGCGGAGGGCGCCGGGCCCGGGGGGCAGGGGCGGAGGGCGGCGCTGGGGACGGCGGGAAGGGAAGCTCTTCCTTCCTTCGGCGAGCGGGGAGCGGCGTGCGGCGGCCTCTCGGCCCGCGCTCGGGGTAGTCCGTGCTGCCTGGCTCCCGCCGCTCGGCTGGAGGCAGGAGGTGGGTTAACGACTAAACAAAGTGAGCATCTTCCTCTTCCCGCAGCGCTGCTGGTGGGAGGGGAGCGGCGTGCCGGGGAGAGCCGTCCGTGCGGCCGCGGGCGGGGGTGGCGGCTGAGCTCCCCAGGGGTGCGGGCAGCACGGGCTGCCCGGATCCCGGCCGGCCAGGATCCTCGGGACGTGGCGGGAGTTCCCCCGCCACCGTCTGTGAAGGGGCGCGGAGGGACGGGTCTCTCCCGGAACGCGGCGCCGGGGAATATCGGCGGGATGAGCTGGCTGGAGGTCCCACCGTGTGTACATTCGGGACACACAGGATGCAGGGGTGGGCTCCGGGAGAGTTCCTTTGTTCGTGTGCTAGGGTACCACGTGTGCCTCATACGGTGCCTCGTGGGGTTATTTTTGTTTTTTTCTTTGCCCATCCTGTAGTTAAAAGTCTCGAAACACCTTAGGTCCGGGATTAGTTAAAAGTTTCAGAATTCAGCAAAACCTAAATACACACTCCGAGGACTTTTCTAGCCTGTTTAGGCAAAGTAGATACACTGTTAACACTGGTTTTGCATAAACGTGTGGGCCCTAATGTGTTCGTTCTTGTCTCGCAAACAGACTGATGCGAAATTGCATTGCTTCTGTGAAAAACCCCATAGTGGCCTCAGTGCATGGGGCTTCAGTGGTTTTTCTCGCGTAACTTTTAACTTCGAACTCCGGGTTCATTTCCCTAAAGAATTCGAGAAAAGTAGAAGGAATTGTTGGTGGGAGTGGTATAGCGATTTGTTTTTTCTGTTTTGCTGAAGCCAAGGAAAGTTAGGAAGGTGGTTTCTTGTTTCCAGCCACACGTGTGCTTTTTCCACCTGATAAGGCTTTTTACTACAAAATCTGGTCTTGTGTGGTCGTATACAGATAGGGGGTTTTGTTGTATTACCCTAGGACTTTGATGACTGACAGTGACCATCCTGGGGAACGTGTATGAGCTTTGTGCTTGTCTTTTACTCCCCTTGTACCGGAATAAATATATTTATTCCTTTGTAATTTAGAAAGAGGAAAGTGCGTTTCTGTGAAAACTGTAATCGAATATTTCATCTGACTGTCGGTGGAGTGTGTGCTTTTAAGAGCCTCTTCTAGAAAAGTTCGTTGTGATGCTTTTTGGTTTGTTCTCATTTTAGACTGTTTTTTGGCAAAGGTCTTTTGTGTACAACTACTCCGGTCCTCTAAAAGTGCAGTGACATAGAGCAGTTTCCTTATGCCTGAGACTTCTGCCTCCCTTTTATTTATCTTTCTCAATAGAACTGTCCTAAAACTCCTGTAAATGGCTGCAGTACTTTATTTGCAGTAGTTTGGATTAGCCTGAGGTTTGTTCCGCAAGCTGATATCTGGCAATCATCAAAACTAAGTACCAGGCCACTTATAGGTTGGAGTCTGTCAGGCTTCTGGTTTGGACCTTGGATTTGTTACCGACTTCTTCCCTGCCCACTTCAGCGTGTGAGGAGGGAGTTGTCCACCTATGTGAGGTCAAGCATGGATCTGCAGGCAACCACCCATGATTCCTGGCTTGCAAAATTTAGGTAATGCTTTCTTCAGCTTCCCAAGGGAAGGCAAGTCAAAGATCTACAGATATGTTCCTGGAAGGTTTTTGAGAAAGAATTATCATCTTAGTGCTGCAGTGAAGAAACAAGGGATTTTGCTTTTTGTTGTGGGTTTTTTTTTCCAAAGTAGTCTTGGATGCATGGCATGGCACATAGTAAAAGGCAGCTCCATAGGATGCTTGAAAGAAATGTGAGTTGGGTCGGTGTTTCTGAATAAATTATTCACCACTTCAAAATGTTAAATGCATACTTCTAAGTGATGTAAATTCCCCTGTATGCATGTCCGAATTTTGGATTTTTTCTTTTTTGTGGATCAGGATTTCTTTGACTAGGCCAGAATCCTTCATCTTCTTCAAACAGTAGAGACTATGTTCATAGTTACATCATTACCCTACACAGTTATTTTTGGATTCCAAGTTCTTCATGTTAGTACAATCTTTATTTAAGCAGAAGTCACAGTTACTACCTAGGTTGTCTTGGACCATTATTTTTGATGCTTAAAATAAATAAGAACTCTTCTGTACAATTACATTTGTACGTAATTAGCTGTTACATTGGACTTTATTTTCTCTTTTGAAAATAAAATACATTGTGTGTTAGTTTGGGAAAATAGTTAAAAGTTGCTATATGTTTTGTTGTCCAGAAAAAATATTCCTAGGCCATTTGCATCCTGCTTTCTGAACCCTTATTCCTCAAAATAACAGTTGAATTCTAATATTCTTTCATTATAGTTCCTGCTTTTAGTTTACTGAGCTTATGCTCTTTACAATTTTAAATAAAATGTAAAAGAGGTATACAATGGTCATTAAGGCACTGAATGTATTTAACATTTTGTTTCTTTTTCATGACAGACAGCCAGAAGAACTCAGGATGAGTAAACCAAATAATTTTGACAGTCAAAGTACATGTAAGTAAAATTTTTATTAAATAGTTTTAGAAATATTTAATCTGCGTATATGATGCCAGTTGTAACTGGTTTTATTTGGGCTCAAAGAACAGGTGGGTTTCAGTAATCAAGTTACTGTTTCCAGTTGTGGCCTACTCAGTAACAGAAAGACAAGGACCTACTGGAGAGGGTCCAGCAGAGAGCCAAAAAGATGGTTAGGGGTCTGGAGCATGTCTCTTTCGAGGGGAGACTGCAGGAGCTGGGGCTGTTTAGTCTGGAGAAAAAAAAGACTGAGAGGGGATCTCATCAATGCGTATAAATATCTCAAAGGCAGGTGTCAAGACGATGGTGCCAGACTCTTTTCAGTGGTGCCCAGTGACAGGACAAGCCATAAACTAAAACACAAGAGGTTCCATCTCACCATGAGGAAGAACTTTACATTGACAGTGGCAGAGCATTGGAACGGGCTGCCCAGGGAGATTGTGGAGTCTCCTTCTCTGGAGACATTGCAAGCCCACCTGAGTGCATTCCTCTGCAACCTGCTCTAGGTGACCCTGCCTTGGCAGGGGAGTTGGACTAGGTGTCTCCAGTAGTCCCTTCCAACCCTAACAATTCTTTGGAATTGCATTGGAACCACTTGTCTCAGGAAATGAAAAAGAAACAACTTATAAACTTCGTTGGATTTCTTTGCTATAATTTGAATATTTTAAAACAGTATTTTTCAGTATTTTAACCTTTTGAATTCAGCTGCCAAATCACACAGAGCAGCATTTGAGGTGTACCATTCAGGGCTTCCTTGGGCTGAAGCAGTACCCCTATTATTGTCACTATTAAAACTGTTCTTGCTATTAGGATATTTTAATCTATCTTTTACATATCTACTGGGAATTAAATGGAAGCTGTTAAATGTCTGTGGAGGTATATTTGGGGGCTAGGAACTTCAGTAAGTAAGAAATCCTCAAGTTAAGAAATCCTTTAGTTAAATCCAGTGTTGTATCGAAGCCTTCAATGTTTTAAAAGCAGTGGTAGCATATGACTTGGCACTGTCAGTGTATCATTCACATGTTTTTCACCTTTATCACACAAGTAGAGAAAGAAATAGTTAAGTTGATTCATAGATTCCAATGTGGTGATGACTTTATGTACAATACTAAAAACAATTAGATGATATATTTCATGTGCACCTGGACATTGTTGGCCATTTGATATCTTTAGGTGTTTGGGGAAGAACATTTCAGTTGGGAGCATAGGCTGCTTGTGAATTTAGCTTGGCTCATAGGCCCCTCCTGAATTAGCAGGCTAGTGAAGTACTTTCTTTTTAGTAACTAGAGAAGGAACAAATAGTACTCTCTTCTGCATCTACTATAAAATTCAACATTAAGGAAAGAGGTATCTACTGTCCTTTATCCAGGAATCTACTTGAAGGTGCATGTGATTAAAAGAGATGAAAGCTACTGCTCTATAGCTGATCAATAGTATTCCAGTGCGTTCACTGTGATAATAAACATGATTCTGTGTTTTAGTCTGTGTTCTCTGTGGACGGACAGATGACTGCCCTGAAAAGTATGGAGAAAAAAGAACCTTTGTGGAATACAATCTCACTGTGCATTATTATTGTTTGGTAAGTGTGTGGTGTTGATCTTGGAGTTTTCTGGTTTATCTAGGAAAAACAAATGTAAGTGCAACAAGTATTTAATAGAAATAATCTGTCCAGTTGTTTTAACAGTTTTGTTGGTTTAGAGCTTGAACTGTGAGCTTTAACTCATTTACTTGAAGGCTTGTACTTGTCAGGTGACGCAGATGAAGTAAGTAAATGCCAACAAGCCTTTATTCAAAGCTAAATTCTATTCATGGTCCATTTAAATGAATTTAATTCTCCCAATCTATCATAGCATATAGCAGTGAAGTGATGTTTGCACCTACGTATTTCGTTCCATAAAAAAGTGTGGTTTCAAAATTTAGAATATGAAAATGTCATCTCTTGTGGAAGAAAGTAGAGAAAGTTTTTCTTTTTTCTTGTTTAGTTCTTTGTTGGCTGTGAGCTATCCTCTGAGGTTACACAGGACATTGTAACACTTAATTGTCCTACTTCTCAGATTAGTAATATGTACCCTACTGATCATATTGCTACAATATCACTAATTAGTAAAAGTTTGTAATTTAAACAAAGCCAGGGATATAAACTGCAGTTGAATAGTTATCACACTTGACATTTGTCAAGATTCATATTCCTAAAGGTATACTTCAACTATGTCTCAAATTCTAAATTTTTACAGTTCTTTAAAACAGTACTACCTAAAAAAAAAAAGCAAACCCATACAACAAGTTTTTTGTTTGTTAATAAATACAGTTTGAAATTTTTTCCCCCAAGTTTAAAAAAAACCTCAGGAGTATTGGGAATAATTTGGGGGGTATGTTTTCTCAACAAGTTTTTTCAAGAGTGTTGATTGCAGATGGCTTAATAGGTTGAATACCAAACCCTTTAAAGGCTAAGGAGAGTGGAGATTTTCTGAAGTTAAACAAAGATAGAATTTTACTTTCTTAAAAAAATTTGAAGCAGCTGGAAAGAAATATAAGTCTGTTTGCGATAATTTTGTGTCATGTAAGACCATATGAAACAATAGGAAGAAGTCCTATCCTGATGGAGCAGGACAGCTAGCAAAGGGCATGCTTACAATAGTGAGCCTTACAATTTGTAAGATATTTTACCGGAAGGAAGCTCATCTCAGTATCTTTTATGGTGTCTCTAGTTATAAAAGCAAGCAAACAAAACCCTTTGATTTTAGTTAAATATAGTGCATGTTATATAAGAAAAGACTTCTAGAAAGAGGCCCACGAGTGGTGCAGTTTCATTTTTCTTTGCCAAATGTATCACAGTTAGAAAATATATTTAATTGATTTTGGTACATAATTTTACATTTATTTGACTAAAATATTGATAAAACTGTTCTTAAAATGGTGCTATGTTGAAATTATAAAATGAGATTATAAAGAATATAGAAGGCATCAAGTTGTGAAACTGTTTAGTTATTTGAAGATTGTAATGTATCTACCTAACTTACTTTAAATTATCTTAAGGCTCTTTTGATTTGCCTAGTTACTTGATTCTGTGTTTATTTAAATCTCCTCTAAAGCGAATTACTTTTCCTCTTAGGTGGCACTTCAGTACAGTTACTTCCTACTGTGCTTCATTATCTCCAAAGCACAATTGTCATTCATATTAACTCAGCTAATTTAATTTTACTTCCTCTGAAGATTTATATGCTGAAAGTAATTGTTTGACAATTATCTGAATAGTCAGTGTATTTTGCCTCCCTTTTTGAAGTATACAATCTTGGGATCTACAGAATTACACAATACTTTGATGTTATGAAATATTTATTTTCATGTTACTGGTTATTACTATTCCTTACTGTCAGATGAGACAAAAATATGAAAATGTTTTGGATCTGTTTTTTACTCATTTAAATATTTGCATAAAAGCTTTGTTAGACTGACCTTCTCTCTTACGTGACAAGCACAGTGTATGTAATTTTAAATCTTTAGGTAGGTAAATGTTTTAAAATACCTAATTTGTTTTCATAGTTGATGTCAAGTGGCATTTGGCAGAGAGGGGAAGAAGATGAAGGTGTAGATGGATTCTTAATCACAGATATTAGAAAAGAAGTAAATAGAGCTGCAAAACTGGTAAGAATGATGTCTTTGGTATCACCAAAAGGGAAAAAGTAACTTTTAAGTGCATTTAGTATTGCCTGCAGGGTTTATTTTTTGCTTTTCCAATGGATAGTATGCTAAGCCCATTCAAGAATCTGAATTTTACATTTAGGTAGCATATCTGTTGGGTTTTTGGAAGCCATGAGGGAAAATAAAACCTGCAGAAGTTGTGACGACCCACCCTTAAGGGGCAGGAAGCAGTTAAGTTTCTTAAATGCTTGTTCGGCAAAAGGAACAACAGAAGTCAAAGGGTCCACAAACAACTAAAAAGTTTTGTTAGTAAATTACATACTTGGCATGGAAATTTGTGTGTTAGTCCCTGATGTACCTATATAAGCACACAGCAGTGGTTTTGGTTAAAGGGGTAGAATAAAAAGGAAGAGAGAAATTAAAGAGGGAAAGATAAAGAAAGAAAGAAAAAAAAGGAAAAGGATTAAAAGAGAGGATTAAAGAAAGAGAAAATAGAGGGATTAACAGTCCTGGTTTACCAGCATTGATCCAGCTGAGGGAGTGTCAGTCCTGGTTTCAGTGTCTATCCAGTTGTGTCAGTCCTAGGGATGCTGCCTGGGCTTGAAGGGGAGCGGTTCTTTTTATGGACAGGTTTCTCCACCAGAAAGATGAGTTTCTCTGCCCTTGAATATAGATTTCTTGCTTTCTATGTAAATTAGTTATCATGCGCAGTCCGGCCTTTCTGAAAATGGGTCAGAGGGTTTTGGGGGTCTTAATCCTACCCTATTTAGTCCATACCCACTTCCTACCACTTATTCCTGTGCTTGTGCTGTACTGTACTGCGATTCTTATGGAAAAGTGTTGCCCCATCTTTGCCTGGCATCCCTTTTCCAGCCAAATCTTTTTCTTTCGTATGTTATGTTGATACCAGTAGTCCTTGGTTATTACCAACAACTCTTGTCTTGTATTACTAACAGTCCTTGGCTGTCTCCATGTCCAGCCAGTTATAAGTATTTGAGACATACACATTAGTCCCTTATCTTCTAGGAATTGAGAGCTCAAAAGGTCTCACTTTGGACCACTAGTTTACAGGTGGTTTTTAGTTTAAAGCCCACAAGAGAGTGGGCTTTAGTCATAGCAATTTTCCATCCTGACCACAATTCGAGGCAGTAACTTTCTTTGAAGATTCAGTAACAAAAGTTAATATTTCCCTTGGTTTGTTAACTGAGGCAAGAAAAATATGTTTCCTGGGAACAGTGTGTCTGATAAGCTCAAGAGAGGCTTAGTCCAGGTGCAGTTTATCAAGGCCAAGGCCTAAAGAGCATTTCTCAGATTATAGTGTGGCCTGGGTGGGTGGGGATGCGCTACCACAATCCATCCTGCAACCACAGTCAGCTTCTCTGGGCCTCTAAAGTTTGCAAATGTTTTTATTCCCTGGGTATGTTGCAGATAAATGAATATTAGTGAATTACGCTTTCATAAGACCTCCAGACATTGTGCTAAGGCTCAAGCTTGCAGTGTATAATTTTATAGATGCAACTAAACTATAGGTACGAGTAAAATAACTTGTATTTTAACTTACGTATCACAAGACAATATGCATATAAACCAATACATAAAGTCTGTGAAATATCTATATGTATTTACTCTTTGAAACAGAGCTAAACCACGAGTCTTGTCATAGTTACTATCTATTAGCCAATATTCTTTCTTATTATTCAAATTATTTATAATTTTTTATTGGATTAATTCCTGTAATTTTACTTGGACTTCAAATGTTAATATTCTTTTATTTCTAAAATTATTTTTAGAAGTGTAATATCTGTAAGAAAAAGGGTGCTTCGATTGGATGTGTAGCTCCCAAATGCAAACGAAGTTACCATTTTCCTTGTGGGATAAAAAGGGAATGTATTTTCCAGTTCATGGAAGACTTCAGGTGAGTTTTGGGGTTTTCTTTTTTCGGTTTTCAATTCATTATATTTATACAGGGAATGGCTTGGTTTGTTCTTGACTTGCAATGGGATAGGCTGTTAATTGTAAATTACATAGGGTTATCTAGGAAAAAAATATTGTATTTGTGGAAGACAGGGAGGCCAACAGTTATACTGCATACCTAATACTTACAAACTAAGTTCTCAACACTTTTAAATACATCATTTACTGTTCCTGCAAGTAGTTAAATTGTTTATAAAATTGAGCATTAAATTCTAAACTCTGAACTAAAATGCATAATGACTGATTTGGGGGTTTTTTGTTTGCCTATCTCCTGTGCCTTTGTTGAAATGGCAGAGGTTTGGGTACCCATATCTCCCAGCAATCAAAACACAGTGTGCCATTCTGTTGTGTTTTGAAGCTTATTGGAGATGGACTTCAGGAGAAGTGAATTTAACATCAAATGTCTAAAAAACGTTTTATTTTCCTTTGCTATTATCTGTCTAGCATCTTGACTGTAGTCAAAATATTCGTGCAGTATTCTGCCTACTGTGAGCTGAGTTAGCAGGGTGGATGGATTGAACTCTGGCAGGCACTTAAAAAATGACTCACATTACATACACACATAAAGATTATGCAGTTTCAGAAAGGTTTCTTCTAGAGCTGCACTTCTTGGATGTTTTATTTCTTTAAAAATTTGCTGAATTATAAAATTTATCGAACTACCTAGACTCTGCTGAATCAGTAGGCAAACTCAGAGTTTCTTCTTTAATGTCATGGTAACATTGAAACACGGGAAGAACCTGGACTTCAGAGGACAGAAAACGCATTATTTGGACTGGAATTTTTGAGAGAATTTACAGAGCATCGGTTGGCACCATGATTCTTCTTTGCTGTCATTCTGTTGACTGTGTTAGATACATCATTTGTTTACATGTGTTGTGGTTTAACCCAGATAGGCAGAAGAGGAAGCACAACTGCTTGCTCACTACCCCCAGCAGATTAGGGAGAGAATTGGAAGGGTAAAAGCAAGAAAACTCTTGAGTCGAGATAAAGACAGTTTAAGTAAAACAAAAGCTGTGCAGGTGAGGAAAACAAGACAAGGAATTTATTCACCACTTCCTATCAGCTGACAGGTATTCAACTATCCCCAGGAATTCAGGGCTTTGTCATGTGTAGCAATTAATGTCTCCCCTTGCTTCTTCTTTCCCTCAGCTTTATTGCTGAGCTTGATATCATGGTACAGAATGTCCCTTTGATCAGTTGGGGTCAAATGCTATGGCTGTGTCCCCTCCCAGTTCCTTGTGCACCCCCAGCCTGCTTACTCCTGGGGTGGTATGAGAAACATAAAAGGTCTGGACTCTATGCAAGCACTGCTTAGCAATAATTAAAACAACCCTGTACTATCAATACTTTTGTTCACAGATCCAAAACATAGCACCATCCACACTAGCTGCTAATAGGAAATTTACCTCTGTGTTATATTGATAAGGGAACCATAAATTATTATTTTTAGATCTTACTGTTGGGAACATAAACCAGTCCAAACTTTTATGGATAAAGAATCTAGAGGAGCATCGCAGTGCACAATATGCCTGGATTTGGTTGAACATCTTCCAACGTACACTATATTGAAGAGTCCTTGCTGTAAAAATGCTTGGTTTCATCGAGAATGCTTGCAGGTAACACAGGTTCTCCCTTGCGTTTTGCATCTGCAGAGATCACATTTCTTCTCTTTTTAAAAACAATGGAATAGCTGCTTAAAATTGTGTGGAATTGCTTAGTGTTTAAGGAGTTAGTTGGTATGGAAATATACGACGTTTGAAGGACGATGCTAAAATTGTGTTACAGAGACAAAAAAGGATTTTTTTTTTTTAATGCTATTAATTTTTCCTCTCCTCACCCCCACATGTTTCTGCATGTGTGATACACACTTCATCCCTTCACTTATGTTTACTAGGTACTTATTTTCTTGCAAATCATTATGTGCAGAATCTGAATGCTAAAAATTTGTCCATCATCAGTTATCTTTGCCTAAGTCCAAAGCTAGAAAAATTTACAATGTTGTTTCTATAAATTTATTCTGGATCTGGAGAGGTTGACTTGAAAAGGATTGTGCTTTTGTTTATGAACCTTAATCTAGCATGCAATCTCTCTCCTTTAAGGAAGAGAAAATGCTCACCATTTGCATCAATGTCAAGTGACATAATGATTGATGTCAGTGTTAACATCCATGTGAGGATTGCATCCTTGAATATAATGTTCATCAATATTAAGACATTCTCTATTGGCCTCTTAAGGATGGTAGGAATTCATAATTGATTTGGATTTTTTGTTGTTTTGTTGGTTTTTTTTTAAACAGTATCAAGCTTTGAGTGCTGGGATATTTTTCTTTAGGTGCACAGTATGCAATAACAAGGACAAATTTCAAAAAGAAATGTTGAGAATGGGCATATACATTCCAGAAAGGTAAGTAATTTTGTAATAATCACTCCTCTACAAAAACTTTGATAGAGTGTTAAAAACATTTTAATTTATTCTATAGAACTGCATCTATTATCATGTGAAGCTTTAGTTCTACCTTCAGTGGTAGAATTGTTCACTTTGGTAAGGAGCAGCCTGTTTCCTTTTAGTTATGCATAAAAATTGACAAAGGTCAAATTATCTCAAACGTAAACCAGAAAGCTCTGAAAAGTCATTTTTAATGCCATGATTCAACTAGGAATCCAATTAAAAGATAAAAGCACTTCGTAAATACAATAATTTTGCCTTAACGTAGAGGTTACTCAGAAGTGTGCCCAAGTTTTCTAATTATCTGAATTTCTATCCAGGCAGAATTGTAATTGACTGATTACTCAGCCATACAGCTTCTATCTTCTGCCAAAGTATTGCTAAGGATATGTTTAGCATAATAACTACTTCCAAAATTCTGAGTTGTTTTTCATAAGTTTCCACCACTTGATGAGGCTCAAAATATGACAGAAAGTGATCAGGATGATGTTTCTTTGTTAGAAGTATTATTCTTCAGAGAGTACCGTTAATTTCCTCGCGAGACAGAAGCTCAAGATTTTTGAGAGGAAGAAGAGTCAAAATATTTGAGGGACTTTGCCATACTGGCCTGGAAAATACTGAGTTTACCTTTCGTGAGTCCATTTTCAATGGTAACTTGAGTAGGTTGCCTAAACAAATACCTGTTTCTTGTGAGAGAGAAAGTGGAATAACGTGAAACAGCAAACACACACTGAGGTCATGTGAAAAATAATAAATACTTCAAATCAAAGTAACTGTACACAAGAAGTCTGACTGTATTTTATAGTATTATTTTAGTTACTAGACTTTTTTCTTCCCCCTCTCAGTTGTCTTAACTGTTGCTAGAACATTGCATGGTTGACATACATTTATGTGTTTATTACATACTCTATACTTGGAAAAAGATGTAACCCATGTAAACAATTGGAAATAGAGTTCTAATATCTGATCTTCGACCTTGTTTATAGGGATGCGTCTTGGGAACTTGAAGAGAACGCATATCAAGACTTACTGCAATGTTATCAACATTGTGATATTAGAAGATGTCTCTGCAAGAAAGGAAGAGACTATAATGAACCTGATAGGTATGATGCTTTAGCAGGAAAGTATAACCTACAATGGAATAGTTCTTTGGTGTGGTTTGGTTATTGCCTTTTATTGTCATTATAATTTATTTATTTAAATGCTTTGATACTTTTCAGCATCAGGTTTTAGTGTCAAGCCAACACTCTGTCTGAATAAAGTGTTTTACTCCATATTTCAATACTAAATTTCTCAGGTTATGAAAGGCAAGAAAACCAGTTTTAATGGCTTATCAGTTATCTTGTCCTTGTTCTCATTTGATACAGAGCTAAAGTAGAATTTGTGCATCAGCATAACATATAGATTATCTTGTACATAAATGAATGTTGTGTGTCTGTCATTGAGTTTAATTCAGAAATTTAAGAAGTGCTAAAATACTTAGAGCCTTTACAAGTAATTATTGTTAAAGTACTAGACTTATGTGAAAATTAACTAGCTGTGTAAAAGCTAGTAAAATCAATCATAGCTGCAAGCTGTCCCGCTGCATGCACATGGCAGATAGAACACACTGCTGATAGTGTAATGAGAGGTCATGTGAAAGGCTTTATTCTGCTCTACCACTTGCTTAATTTTTTTTAATAAGTTCATTTTCTGCATGAATTTTTGTTTTGTTTGTGTGCTTCTGAAATTTTTATCTTTCATTAGTGTGAGTATGCTCAAAGCTGTCAGAGCCTCTACTTTGAAGACTTGTTTGTGTAGTACTGTAGACATTAGCTTTGCTTTATACAGTTCTGACCATTCGTGGTACGTGTGCAGCTCAGGATTTCCTTTGCCTTTAAAATTTATACCTGAGGCTTCCAGTATTTGAACTAATCAGTTACATTGTTCCATTATATGTTTAAGCAAAATCAAAGAAGCCTAGACAAAAACCTAACAGATATTTAAACACTGTCATTAATGAAGAATCTTCTTCAGGACGTAAGAATAATCATAGCATCATAAAATGGTTTGGGTTGGAAGGGAACTTTGTCCTATCACAACAGGCCCTGCTAAAATGTCTGTTCAACAACACATTGGTAGTTTTGAATGCTTTGATTGAGAGCTCTCCTGTAAAAAAAAAATACCATTTGGAAAAGTTGACTGGTGAATACCCTTAAGATACAGAGGATTTTCCTGACTAGCAACACGAGGAGAAAATATTACCTGTAAACTATTGACTTCAAGGCAGGGGAGCACACTAATTCATAGCCTCATTCAATACAAGGTGCTGAAACGTGAGCTGCTTTTTTTTTCTTGTGAGTACATCTTGTATGAAGAAAGTTCCTGTTGATTACAATAATTTCTACCACACTGATAAAATTATGCTTTGTTAGTTTAGTGTCTGGATTGCGCTTACTATTGAATAGTCTTCATTTTAACTTCTGTCTAATACTAAATACATAATTTTTTAATTTTAGTAAATGGGAAATAAAGCGCTGTCAGTGTTGTGGTTCTCGTGGGACTCATTTGGCCTGTTCATCTCTGAAGTCATGGGAGCAAAACTGGGAGTGCATAGAATGCAGAAGTATCTTTGCAAAATCAGGTAAAGTTATGGATGTGATAATGACTTCTTAAATGATAACTTTAAGTTACATAAATGTACTTTACAAGTACAAATATACTAGTTAATATAATTTAATCATACAGGGAAGTACAGCAGAAAGAAAAAGCGTTCTTTGGCTACTTCTGAAAAGACAGATGGGACAACTTGTTTGATGGACGAGCCATCTCCAAAGACCCCTCGGCAGTCATCTGGATCTCAACACAGTTTTCTACTCCAGTGTGTAATGTTCTGTTTTTGATCAGAAACTGATTATTACATAATATTTAAACATGAGAAGGTGATGGCTTATTCTGTAGGAGAAACTTCTTATGCTAAACTGCCAATTGATTAAAACTGGAGTTTTTAGTGATGGAAGTTTCCTAAGTAAGCCATGAACTCTGTTCATTTGCTATAGTTACATGGATTTGGTGGCAGGAAAACCACTTCTTAGTTTGATAAATGTAGATCCTTTCTAAAGGAACCATAACAATTTAAAGGTAACCTAGAATATACAAATGCAAAACTTTAGTTTGTTTATTGGGCGTTTTCCATTTTAATCGTCTTTTGGAAATCTAACTTATAGATGTTTATAAGAATATTTTCCTGTGCTGAAATAAAAACTTGTCAAGTCTGTAGGAATTAATAATTTTAATTTTTACCTAATGTATCAGTCAGAACTTCCATGTCGTCTATGGGATGCAACTAAAAGCTGATCCTAAAACCACCATATAATAAAATACTGAATTGTTATTTTTAAAATTGTAGTTCAGACACTGGTGGACTTCATGGTAGGGGGAATAAGAAGTGGTTATGCATTCTTCAATTGTATCTCTTCTTGAATTACTCTTTTGACTTATAGATCACCAAAGAGAATGTACCAGAACAACTTGTCACCTTGCTCACACCTAGAACTTCCAGCATCCAACAGAGTGACAATGTCCTTATCTCCACTGATGTTAAACAGAAACTGGTCCCTGAGGCAAAAGTATTTTTTTTTTAATTTTTCTTATGTTGAAGAGTAACCTAGCATATGGCTCTATATCATAATTCTTACAGAGTATCTAAAGGGGTAGAAGGAGGAGTGTATTGTAGCTATATGTACTTGTGTGTGTATGTACATACATATCTCTCACAGACCCCAGCACCTGCAAAAAACATTTTCCCAGGGGACTTGACTTACTAATTCCCTGGGCAGCCTGAAGTCTGCTCTCATGTCCAGAGTAGAGGTTTTGCTGACACTTCTCCTCCTGTCAACAGAGATTTTTAAACTGTCTTCTCGTGGTTGCTGTGGCCAGGACAGCCACCAATCTCCACTTCACTCACAAGGTCCACTCTGAGTTGGCTCCCTTAGGACCTGTTCCATAAAGTTTTCATCCAAGTGTTCTAGGAATCTTCTGGCCCAGATTGTATCAGTTGTTTGAGAGATATATATATATAGAGAGAGATATATGTATGCATGTAGTCTCTGGAAAAATGGAATGAGTACACTGAAAACCTGGAGTCATAGCTCGATAAAGGCTTCTGCCGTTTATTAATGCTAGAGGGGTGCGAGGAGAAAAGAATGATACCTATTGAGAATTTTTAGGTTCGTTAGTGAGGGGATGAAAACTCAGAAATATATATTTGTCCTTGCCAAAGCATGACTAATTATTCTTTAGAAAATACGGAACAAAAAGAATCCTAATTGCTTTCTTCTAATTAGACGTGTTTTGAATGTTCAAGGCTTTTGCACTTTTACCATAGGAATAGTTCATGATTGCACTAAAACCAGTGCTAAAACAACATGTTGTAATATAAAATACTGATTTTAAGGATGTAAAATTCTTTATCTGGCTTTGAGAAGTTAATTGATGAATTCTACCTTATATGCTAAAAATTCTGATGGAGGAATTAGTTACTTCTAGTAGGGTATGTGAAACAGATTTGGTTGGAAATTAGAAAACAAAGAAAAGGTCTAATTTTTTTACATGAGAACGCAACATTTCTTCCCATTCTAATGTCTTTTTGATTATAGCAACAAAAATTATTCTAATTTAGTTGCAAAACATCTCTTTAACAAATTGGTAAACTTCAATTTCTCACTTGTTTTACGTTGCTCTAATGCAGACTGACAGTGTGAGAATTGTTTGGCACGGTGTTGGTGTCACTGAATTATGGAAATCACTACTTGTTTTATGCCAGGGTAATTATTTCTACCTCTTTTTCTAGCCCTTAGAGGTACTTTAAAATTTACCACTACAGAATTAAAATTTTAAAAATCTATACTGAATATTTTACTGATATAATTTAGGCAATACCTGAATGTGCCACAGTGTTTAAAGGTGTGTTGTTCTTAGTAGATTGTAAGAATGCTTCCTGTATAACTGTTGCTAATTATGAATCAGAGATTTCATCTGAAAATGCGTGTAATTTTCTCATAGGCATTTAAGAGAGCAAAGAAAGGAAGTTTGTAACATACTGAAGGAGTTAAAGGTGCAAGTTAATACAAAAACAACGAGGCTTAACATCAATGCAGATGATATCTGGAATAGTGCTTTAAAAGGATTTAGACAGCGCAACTTCAGTCCTACAAACACCATTGAAATAAATTTCACAAACTGCAAAAATAGACCAAAGACAGATACTTCTGCTGCATCAAAGCACCATTTCTTCCAGTTATTAATGCTTCACCTTCAGAATTCATCATTGTTTGAGGGCTCTTCTGCGAAGAATTTGTCCCTTGATTTTCAAGGTAATTAAATGCTTTGTTCAAAAATACACTGAGAACTATGTAACTTCAAACATTTTTTAGTCTTTGGCCAGTATTAGTGTCAGTTCATGATGAATAGAAATTGTTTATGCTTTTTTTTGCTTTCTTTATTCCATTCTGAAGGGGGCTGAAGTGTGGATTTATAATAGCAAAAAAAATTGGTGTAGTTGGAAACATTTATGATAACAAAGGAAGAAATACAGCAAATAATGAGACTTGGAACGTTTTAATTCATGTATTTGTTCTCATCAAGTGAATTCCTTTCTTCCTGACTCACTTTCTCTGCTACTTATTTTCCTTTCCTCAAATTTCTAGGACATTATCTCTTATAGCGTGCTCCTTAAAGACCCCAAGTTACCTTCTTTGAGTTCTTATGCTTCAGAATTAAATGTGCATGTGGTGCAAAGTGGAAGAGGAAGTTAACATCTCCCAAAGTTAGAATAGTGGCTGAAGAGTTGAAGTAAAAAAGTATGGTATTGCTATGTAAAAACGTGATCTTATTCTTTCAGCCATCAGGAGACAGCAAACTTCATTTGTTGCCTCTCCTAAAATAATAAGAAATTGCATTATGACACTTTCTTTTAAAAAATGAGGATCACAAATAATTTCTATGCATAAATAGCAAATATATTTTTCTATTTGCAGCTGTAAAAGAAAACCTTTATTTTGAAGCTGGTAAAATGATTGCAGTTTCTCTGGTTCACGGTGGTCCATCCCCTGGTTTCTTTTCCAAAACGCTGTTCGATTGTCTTGTCTATGGTCCAGAGAATGTGAAGCCAGCTTTGGAAGATGTTGCTGATGTTGATGTAGCACAAACAATAAAAATGGTAATAAGCAATAAGTTTTGTTATATTTCTTATTTGAGAGTATATTTGGAGATAAAGACTTACTGAATAGAACTTTCATTGAAATTAAAAAGCTTTTTTTTTTTCACGTATGTACATACATGTAGTATACAAATTTCTAACTTTTGTCTTTTTATACAGATAAAATATGCAAATAGTCTGTCCAGCCTACAGTCTACAATACATGACTGCTATGAATTCCTTGCTGCTGCTGGATGTTTAAGACCTATAACAGCTTTGTGTGATAAGAACATGCTGGTGAATGACATATTGATCCATCATGTAATCAAGAGAATTATTTCACCATTAGAAAGGTTTGTTTTGTTTGAGTTTTCATACTACTTGGGTTTTTTCCCTCACTGAAATACTAAATAATATGTTGCTAAAACTAACTTCCCCATGTTCTTACTTATTCTCCATTTAAACCAATGGAGTGTACTGTAATTTTCAGTGGATTAATTAGCAACTGTTAACTACTTAGTTAAACTGAAGGACTGAAATTATTTCTCTGCATATTTGCTCTGTTCCACTTTTTGGTCACATTCATTTTTCAACCTTGTGAAGAGGGCAGATTCACAGTTTTTAAACTTTTTTTCACTTTTAAGTTTTTAAAGCATCACAAAGACTACAAAGTTTCTTATACTTGTGTTCATTTTTAATTCAGCATTGCTTGAATCTAGAATCTTTAAATGTTTCAAATTCTTCAAATTTTAATGAGTTTTCCAGAGTTCTAATCAGGGAGTTTGTGTTTTCTATTAGGAGGGCAATAAGGTCAACAAGGTGACCTGCTTAGAACATTAGTATTGCATTGATGTTTCCACGAGGTAGTGATGACCTCATTAGCTGGAAAAGCTGCAGCTATTGACTATTCTTTGACTGATCTCTGACCTTACTTCGAGTTCTTCATCTGCTCAGTAAAAATGCATTAGATGCTAATTATTCTAACGACTATAGCTGAATTTATACTTAAAACTTTTATAGTGTTATCTTTGACAAATTTGAATAAACTGAATCTCCAAGAGCCATGAAAACTAATTTTGAATGTGAGGATTTTTTTTTTTAAATAAAGTTCAGAGCAATTAGTCTTTCAGTCACGGCCCTCTGGCATATTTGAACAGTATATATCATATTTTAAAACTTGTCAGAAAGTAAAAGATAGCCTGTTTGTTTATGGAGTAATGTGGTTTTGTGCATTTTTGGAGATGGGCTTAAATGTGCATAAGTGAGTAGAACAAGAATTCGCTTGTCACTATCAAGGACTGAGAGTAACTAAAGAGTTGGTCATTTTAGCTGTTAAATGTTCTACACCCCTGACTGTACACTTTCAACATGTTTATTCTGAATTTTATTGATTCAGCCTATCAATATATAAGAAATTACAAGTAAACTCTTTAAGTAAAATTTTAATTGTGATTGTGGCAGCTAAATTGGAAAGCCAGTTGCTTGAAATGTTCTTGTCCAATGCAAAGTAACAAGTGAAATTTTTTTTCAACCTACAGAGCTGTTTGGATTCTTTGCTTTGGTTTGATTTTGGTTTTGGAGGGGTGGGTGTGTTTAAATGCATTTAATTAAATTACAGAATCAGATTGGTGTGTGGGTTGGAAGGGACTTCTGGAACTTCTCTTGTCCACCACCCCTGCTTAAGCCAGGCCATTTAGAATCAGTTGTCCAGAACCATGTCCAGACAGCTTTTTAATACCTCTGTGGATGGAGGCTTTACAGCCTCTTTGGGTAACCTGTGCCAGCACTCAGTCACCTGGACAGTAAAAAAGTGAGTCCTGATGTTTGGATGGAACCTTCTGTGTTTCAGTTTGGGCTCAGTGCCACTGGTCCTGTCACTGGGCACCACCACTTAAAAGACCTTGTCTCTGACTCCTTCACACTCCTGCACACTCCCTTCAGATAGTTGTAGGCAATGGGATTCTACCTGAACCATTTTTTCTCCAGGCTGAAGCATCCCAGCTCTCTCTACCTTTCCTTATTGGGTTATGCTCCAGTTCCTTAATTATACGAATCACCCTCGGCTGGGCTCTCCTCCAGTGTGTCCATTTCTCTCTTGCACTGGGGAGACCAGCACTGGACACAGCATTTCAAGTGTGGCCATACCAGTGCTGGACAGAGTTAAAGGATCATTTCCTTTGATCTGCTGGCAGCACCATTCCTAGTACAGCCCAGGATACTGTTATTTGCATTTGCCACAGAGAGAAATAACAGCATGAAAGCACACGCAGACTGCAGAAGCCAAGCAAAGGCTACTTTATAAGACATCTCATTTTACCTAGAGACAAGGATTTTTAACTGTTTTCTTAAAAAGTGTTTGTAAGAAAGGGATTCGTTATGTTGTATGTAGAAGTTTAAAGTAAACCTTGCAACATACAGTTGAGTACTAGGAAATAAAATTAATTTCTACATATTACTAGTATTTCTTTCATTTGCTTAAAAAGCTCCATAGAAACAACTAGATTGTTAAAATGAGAGTTAAATGCATTTTCCAAGCTAAAATGGGACTACTCGGTACACCTTATCGACAAGACTTGGAGACTGCAGATGGGGAAGATTTACTGTATCCAATCTTGCAGCTTTATAAAACGGAGAGTTCTGATGCATGGTCACTCTTTTTTTTTCCATCCCTCCTAGTTTTAGGCAAGGTTTGAAAACTCTTGGTGTTCTGGAGAAAATGCAAATGCACCCAGATGCGTTCTCTAGTGTATTGTGCCACAAACCCGAAAGACTTTCAGCAGAAGCTATTTGTGATCTCTTTACAATCCATCCATCATCAGATGTAAAGGAAGTTAAAGGTGCTGATTTTTGGATGGGCTATTTGCAAGATGTGGAAAGTAAGTAATTTTTTTTTTCTTCCCTTCCCTGTTCAGGGTATTTAGTTGCTGGTATGTATACAAGGTTTGATTTATGAAGTTCATTTGGATAAATAAATTCAAGGGTTTGCAGTCACTATCTGTTCCTAATTGTTCTTCTTCACCCCTTTTCTTACTAATTGGAATTTCTAAAAGTGTTATCCAGTTATAATCAAACTTCAGTGGGGTAAATACATGAAAGATAGGAACTAGAACTCGTGTGAATTTAAAAAGAAAACAAAACACAACTTCAGTGATACAGAAAAATCCTTTATTAGGTAGTTTATCTAAAGTCTTAAAGCCCACTGTTTTCTAACTTTTTCTTACAGATGAGTTTTTTTCTATTCACTTAAGATTTGTCAGAACTAACCTAAGTGAGTTTTGCTTGTTAAACATTCTCTTATTTAGCCATAGAACTGTATATTTATTCAGCATATTGATCTGATTTTTTGTGGGCTTTTTTTTGCTCTAAAACTTAACGTACAGGATAATGGTTTATGTGTAATAGACCATCAGTGATAAAACCTAATCCTTTTTTTTTCAGGTGGTGAGTCTGTAGTGACGTTTGAGGATATCTTGCTGTTCGCAACAGGCTCCCCTTCTGTACCATCCATTGGTTTTGATCCTGAACCTACTATTAAATTTTTGCGTATAAGGTACCCCATTGGAAACAGACTCCTTAATAGCTTAGAGCTCCCTATAACAAAAACATACCAGCAGTTTAAAAATAAAATGGAGCTCACCATCAAAAACACACTAAGAGTTGAAAGTGAATAAGTATTTTTGCTACTAAACTGGATGTTGGAAAATTCAGTTTTCTGCAGGAACATCTACTTCCAATTTGCTACTGTATTTTTGGACAACGTGCTCTCAGCCTTTTGCCACTTTTCCTCCAAAGATATGCTAAAAGAAGTAATATTGTTAGATGGAAAACAATTTTCAAATGAAAATACACTTTATTTCTTGAACTCCTTTTGAAGTTGACTTGAGTCAACAGTCTCTTGCAGAAGTACTTTAAATATCTACTTTTGCTGTAGACAAGTATAAGTACCAAACTCTGTAACAGGTAAGTTTGTGGATTGTATCACATACTTCAGTAATGGCCAGTCTCTTCGCGAACGAAGAACCGGGGAAGGTCTTTCCACCTTCCAGCCTGCGCATTGGATTTTTTAGGTGAGACACAGTGTGCGCGGAACTGAGCCCACCCTTTAATCCTGAGGTTCATCTGCCGGGGCCAAGCACGCTTGGACGGTGGCAGCGAGGTCCTCAGGACGTAGATGGATTGCCTTCCAGGGCTAGCGAGCTCCATCTGCCCGGGGAGTGTCCTAATCGGGAATCGAACCCAGATCTCAGCGTTGACAACGCTGTGGTTTAGCCACTGCACCACCAGGGACACTCACATACTTCAGTAACTTATTTATCAAAGGCAAGTCAGGTACATCTTGAAGATAATTTCTGTAGAGCTTTGTTTCAAGTAAGACTGTGATGCAGTTCTTCAGTTCCATGTATATATTTTCAGTACTTGTTTTTTTCTATTGATTAATTTACATTCTGATGGTTCAGAGAGACGTAGGAAGGTTAAAATACTTGGAGTTTTAAAAGGTCATTGTTGTTAATGCATTAAAATTTAAAGCCTGGAGAAAGCCTAGGCAAAATAATATATCACAAGAACAAAATCAGATTGAACTTGTGTTTCAAAACAAAAATTGAACAAAATCTTTGACATTTGCACATCACTGCATTCTGCTGTCATACACTAGTTTTTAATTACACATAGAGCCAAAATAGTAAAAATTATAAGTGTTGAATATGCAACAATAATTGGTCTTTCAACTTGAAATATAAGAGTTAGACTTTGTGTTGTTGAGTATGAAAGTATAGAACAGTTTGTTGCTCATTAGAACATGTAAATTTGTCTTCCATTGAAGTCAGTACTTTCATACAAATATGCACTAAAACTGTTTTTTATAATAAAGGCAGTCCACCATCAAGCTTGTCTGAGCCTGACACTTTTCTAGCTTTTATTCTAAACTCTTCCTCTTCAATTGTAGGTACATTCTGAGCAACTCTATAAAAGATACTTTATTGCTGCAGTATTTGTATAAATACCATTAAGCCATAAAAGAAGAGTAGTGAAATTCCTATGCAGCAACACTTTAATGTTACTAATGCTAAAACCATGAAACTAAAAGGGCATCTAAGTACACTTTTTTAAATGTATGCAGGTCTCTGTTTTTAAATTACTTTTTTCCCCTGTCAGTTTCACCACCTGTAACTATAACATAGGTTGTGCTATAGATGTAATATAGATAGGTATATATTTATATACATCTATGTGTATCCACATTATTCAAAATACTGAAAAGTAATTGTACCCCTTTTATTAGTCATAGCTTGCTTATAATTGAAAATACAAGCAGGATCGCTCTACTTTTGAATACCTTGGCAAGAAAGTACATCCACAGAAATTATAAATGGATAGGTGCTTCCGGAAAAATAAAAATCCATACTAATCTGATTTCAGGTTCTGGTTTAGGGTTCATTGCAAGTATTCCCCTAATGAATGAATTTTATTACTAAATGCTAATTACATAGCAGTTTACTGCAGCTCAAGAACTGCAGAAGTGCCAGTCAAGAGTCTTAATTTGAGACTACTCTAGAAATGGTTAAAGATGAAGAAGCAGAGGGGTTATTTAAATTACACAGTTCTTTTAACAATATGCAGGTGTTTTGAAATCCCTTTTTAAACTGCTGCAGCTTTTCTTTCTTTCTTGATCCTGGGAGAGGTGCTAATCTTTATATAAAAAGACCTATTTTCATCACTGGATAACAAAAGCATGTATGCCACTTTTTGCCACTTAATTTTTCATTTTTTTGTTTATTTCGAAGTCCTAGGAAACTATTGCAAGCCTTAGATCAGATATTTCTCACTTTTAAGTGGCTAAAACAATCTAATCACATCAAAGTCCTGTCATTAGAAACTTAAGAATGTAAGAAATTAACACAGGACTAGCAGTGTTTTTTGGTTCTTAGTCAAAAGCATATTAAAATCTACTTTAAAATAAATATATGAGCTCTTGGAGAATGTAATTTGACTTGTTTATATACTAAGTATTTTATCACTGTCTTCTGGTTTTTTCCTCCAATAATAGTCCATGTTTCTCATCTCTGCATAATTTTTGAGTCTCATTCTTCCAGTAACTTCTTTGTATTCTTGGTTTTCAGAATGGTCTATTGCCATTATAAGGAGAATGGTTTGGTGCAAATTTGTTTGCATAATAAGGATACATATTGTATGTTTGTATTTTTAAATACAGCAATGGGTCTCCTGCAAATATTATACTTAAAAAATGAGTAGTGTACCCAACGCAGTATTCCTTTTTCTTGCCTAGTTAGTCAAAAATAAATGTCTTCTGAAATATGTGATTTTTCTGTGTGATAAGTACAGAACTTACAGAAGTAGCAGTGTGTGAATAATTTTAATGGACAATTCTGGCATCTGCAGTGGCAAGGGAAACTGTTCAGAACTTAGAATTAAATAAACTTCATTTTAAAACCTTCAGTGGAGAAAGAAATACAAAGATAATGTGAATACAGAGCTTCAAAAACATACCTGAGATTACAAAAATGGAGTTCACACCTTTTATTGCTTATTTCTTTCAAATTCAGCAGTTGAAAGGGTTTTATATAAAGGTAGAACTAGCCTTTCAGCTGTAGGAAATGTTAACTTTAAAACCTTCTGCTATACAATGCTGTATCCAAACACTGAATTTGTAAAATTATGTAGTATCTAACATTGCTTGAAAGGGTTTCTCTAACACAGAATTGATTCCCATTTTCTAAAACTGATATCTATGCATTCAGGACAAGTTTTCTTTTTTTTTTTGTTGGTTTGATCAGCTCTATCTAGACATTCCAGTATATTCCAGTTGTATTCCTCTCCTCTTCACATTTTCAGCATTTGTTTATATAGACCAATCTTTATTTTAACTGTTCATTAGAATTCCTTTGAATAAGCTAACTACTGATCCATCAAAACACAGAAAGGTCTCCCTTGTCCTTAAAATGTAAGAGCAGTTTACGTAGCTAAAAGGACCATCAGTTTTTTTTTTTATTATTACAGCAGGTCTCTAAAGTGCAATATCTAGTAGTTTTCATTTTACATAAACATAACCTGAGCCACACCTGGAAATTAGGGAAGTTGCTTTCTTCCAGTATTTCTGTAACACAGAGAGAATAATTGCATATACTTCAGTTATGTATTAAATATATTCTTACAGAAATTCATCTTTTGTAAAATTTGTCAGCACCACAAAAGAACTATTGCAGTGTTCTTTGTGCTTGGCCACAGAATTTCACCCCACAGTTTCTGCATCAAACCCTAAGCATCCATTTGCAATAAGCATACCAAATAAGCTTTTTATTTTCTACAGTGATAATTTTGTATAAACAATAATATATTGGGTTTAGTAGGGCCTCCTTAACAATGCACATACAATTAAAAACACTCTCAACTATTTTAGCTCTATGTTTGGAAAGCAAAGGAATAAGAAATTTCTGACTCACTTTCACCTATTCAAAGGATGCTTACCAGAAAAAGCTATTAGCGTTTTTAAGTAACTGGCTTAAGAGTGAAATACAGTCAGAAGGAGAACTATGTTTAAACTTAATCATTGTATACTGCAGCTTTGACATTTTTCATTAAGATGTTCAGCCTGTGAGGACCTGAGGGTTTTGAGAGTATTAGTCATTAATTCACACGTTTTACATATACATTTTGAAAATAGTGTATAAAAAAAATCTGTTTTAAATAGAAGCAAGTGCAACTTTGGAGCCTACAAAATATTAAAGTTTATCTTGATCCTGTATTACATGGTAAAGCATTTTACAGCTCAAACTTTACTGATTTTTACTTAAGAGAGTTCCTAGTTGGGCAAAAGAAAAATTAAAATGCTTAAACTTTTTAAGTGTCAAATCGTATGCACACAGAAAGTTAATTTTCAAAATATTAATGTATGTAAAACAACCCCAAACCAACAATTCAACTGTCTGATTTTTATATTGCATAAACAATGTTCTTTTTAAACTTACAGTAATTAGAATATTATGCAAGAAAATGTAATTTTATAAGTATTTTAGCTCTAACTTGAACTGCAGGATCAGTGCCTGAACTGTTGCATCTTCACGCAACATTATATGGGAGAGATGTAGCATCAGTGTTGAAATAATCAGTAATTGGTGGGAAATGTTATGTACATGTTCAAAGTGCAATAAAGGGTTAAATATGGAACTTTCTTCAGTGTTTTTTTTTTCATTTTTTTAACACTTATAGGATTAAACTCCATTAAATTATCACTATTTTCTGTAGTTTCAGTTGTGTACCTGCAGATTTATATAAATATATAGCAGGTTTATCCAGATACCTTAGGATCTAAAACTGCATTAGGGCGAGTGAGGTCTTCCCACTGTAGGATAGGGTAAAAGCATGGAGAACCCAAGGAAGGCTGCCTCTGGAGACGTGCTACCTGGGGCAGAGGCAAGCGAACTCGAAACTAGTTTTCCTTAAATACTTTATTTATAGCTAGCTGCCTGGTTTTGAAACTTCAGTCCTTTCATGTACTCAGTCTGAGTGCAGCTCAGCTGTTTGCATCCGAGCGGTTCCAGTTACTTCCCTGAAACTTTGGTGGGAGAGCAAACACTGCTCCTGCGGGTTTTTGCTGGCGGGGGGAGGGGGGGGGGCGGGGGCGGGGAAAGGTGTGTAAAATGCCGCTCTCGGCCGGGCTCCAGCACAGCTCCCGTGCTGCACCGTGAGCTGCAGTTCCCGCAGGGCCGCTCCCCGCACACCTGGCGGGCCGGGGGCGCGGCCGGGCCGGGCCCGCCCCGCTCGCAGAGGCCGCCACGTGTCGCGGCGGCTGCGCAGGCGGCGGGCGGGGCGGGGCGGCGCGGCCGGGAAGATGGCGGCCGGGATCCGGGAGAAGCAGACAGGTGAGCGCCGGCCGTGGTCCCCGCCGTGCGGCGCCTTCCCGGGGCTCGGGGCAGGGAGGGAGCCGGGCCAGCCGCACGCTGCCGCCGGGGGGCCTGCCCGTAT